TATTTATCAAGAAGAATTAGCTTAAGGTTTTTCTTAAAACGTTTTAGAGGAAGAAGCTTTATGTCTTCACTTATATCATTCCAGACTTTAGCACCCTGAAATCTTATGTTGAAGATTCTATAATTTGTTCTGGCAGTTGGAATAGTATAAGTCATTTTTGCTAGATAATCTGGTATTATAATTATGTAACATCCTAACAGAATTGAAATAAGGGTCAAATAGAGGAGGTAAGAGTTTCTTGTGAAACTTATACCTAAATACTGGTAGTTGAAAGGTAATAATGTCAAACAGCTTCACAACATTTAGATCTTTAAATAAAAGACTTGAATGTTCGTTATAACTAGAGAAAGTAATTATTCTTAAGGCTCTCTTCTGTAATATAAATAAAGGTTTCAAAGCTGTCCGATAGGTATTACCCCAAACAATTATGCAGTAATTTAAAAAAGGCTCAACTAAAGCATAGTACAGGCTAAGTAGTGTTTTAGTACTTAAGAAATAACGGAGCTTGGACAGAATGCCTATACTTCTCTTGATTTTTTTAGAAATGTTATTACTCTCACGGGGAGTTTCCGGTTGTTTCCACTATTTTTGATAATTTCTACAATCATTTCTTTTCTCGTACACCAAGAGAGATAACTGTTTACCTCAAAGCGCCTCCTAGTTTAGAAGTCCCTTATAATTTCAGTAACTTGTTACTCAGTGTTACCAGCGGCAGTATTGTAAGATATTCAGAGCGTTACCTCAGCGCAAATTTGATACTTCTAACAGAAAACAGTTTGTAAGCCTTCGCAAAGAAACCTGAAAAGCTGGCCTGCTGAATAAACCTTAATAAAACTTTCTCCTTTTCTTTTCTTTTCTCCTTTTCGTTATGTGACAGTTTCGTGATGACAAAAAAAAACAAAAAAACAAGCATGTCTAACTTGTCACAAGGTATGGCATGAAATATACCCCTAGCAATTTCAAGCCAGTTTGTAATATGTTTCTCTGGGTCGGTGATCATTACTTTATTATCGACAATATCCAGAGACACCTTGCTTTTCATCAAACTAATATCGACTAAACAATTAGTTGACATTTCAGACATGAATATGATTGGTTTGTTTCATTTGTACTGACCATAACAGCTGACTCCTTGCTGGACAAAAGCGTCTATCAAGTAATTTTTTATCCTTGAAGGTTCATCGTCTATTAAACGATTTCCATTGACAAAATATGTCTTCTCCTCAAACAATACTGCTTCTACCAACCCGAGAGGCTGCAAATAGTTCTTAAATATCTGACAGAGAACTAATGGTACAGCGTTTTTTTGAGTCTTGACGTTCGACACTGGATACACGACGGGTCATCACGTGACGCGGGGTAATTGAGCATCATGCTTTTGGTATCCTTCCTCTGATATTCTTCATACAAATTGTTGTCACGTGACAACATTTATCTGTCGAGCTATTTGAACTGACGCGTTTGTTCCACTTCCAGTTTCTTGGAGAACCTTTTCGATACATTCTTCCACTTCTTTGTGTCCCACGCCTTGTAGCTCTTTTAACTGGTCCTACAGAAAATAAACCATTCTGATTCCACTTTGGTATGAAGACGCAACAAATAAATAACAAAAATATCGACAGAAACAAATCTAATATCTGAATAATCTCAAGCCTTTTTATTTTCACACGGACATACCTCGACTTGCTTTCCACAACACCTCAAAAGCACCACGAAGCATTCAGCTGTTTTCTGGTTTAGCTGCTCAAAAGCTGAAATAGAAAGATACAATCGCACATATTACTCTCTATTTAGATAAAAAAAAAAAACTCCCAACGTAGGTAGTAGAGGGGGCTTATCTGAAGCTAAATTACTCTCAGTCAAACCATACAAGAAAATCACTCCGTTTATGGGAAATACACGTGACATCAGAGACTGAGGCGTCGGGTGGTGTTCATTCCTTCATCATAGGGTGCAAGTTAAAGGCAACTGAAAACTATTCCCTTGGAATTGTTTTGCAACAGCCAAGTATCGACAGAGTCCACCATACCATCTTTCAATGAAGAAAACAAACCTTGAACTGTTAGGTAAGGAGAAGAGTCGGTCGCATCTACCAACAGCTTCAAAAGACTCTTCAGGATAGTAGAACTGTGATTAGGAATCCTACAAATACAGACTGCATGAGACGGAGTGACGCACAATAACAAATACCAACAAATAGAAAAACCCGCGGCATCACTTCCGCACGACACATATACCGTAAACGCCCTTGATACTAAATGTTTTTATCGCGGAATGTTGATCAAAATGACTATCGTTCCTAGAGAAGATAGTTTTCTGACAAATCTCTGTGCCGGATGTTTAAAAAAACCTATCAACACTGATCGTACTTTAAGTTTCATGACTACAGAACGTATATGTTGTTACAAGCGAGTGGCACCAATCGTGCTTTGAACATCTCCGCCCAGGCACAGCGGTAGAATCAGGGGCAGGTATGTTTTCTCACCTTGGCCAAGCCTGTAACATTGTGGCTTTCAACGCATCAAGAACAGCCAACCGTGCCTCTTCATCAGGATAATCGCTTACTTCCAAATATGAGAATATAACTTTTAAAAGCCGCTGAAAAAATATTCAAATCACCTCTTTGGAATATTGTAAAGTCAAGTAATGTAGTAAACCGAGTGACTCAGTCTAAAAGTAAGGTAGTATCAAAGGCTCAATTGAGTGCGTTTGCCAGCTCTCTTATCGTTTCAAAAGTCAGACTGTCACACTGAAATCAATAGAATGGGCCTGAAAATGGCAACAAGTTCCCGCTAATTATCTAGACAAATATTAATCTAACTACGGGCATACTTCTGATCACAAGATATTACTGAATGATATAATAAATAAATACAGGCTGATAGTTTCTAAAGAAACTGTTTGGCGCTGCGTCGGTGGGGGTAACGAAATAATTTGAATATATCAACGAAGTTGAAATGGTAAATTGGCCACCGTTACGGTTAGAAAAGCTGACGTTTCGAGCGTTAGCGCTTCGTCGGAGCGAAGGTATATATATATATATAATAAATACATGTGAGCAAGTTATAAGAGCTTGACGCTAAGAGGTTCCGAAAAGATAACCTTAAAGTGGCGTAGTATTGTTATTCCCATGTGTTCAATGAAATGCTGTAAGTGACTTGCATACGCCTGGAAACAAAGCAAATCGTGCTTTAGTAACACAGTATTAACTTTTTTTAACTGTGTCAGT